GACAAGTTCCGCGCCGACCCCGACAAGCTGGCCAACCTGGTCGCCATCCCGCAGTACTTCGACCTCGAGCTGTACACCACGCAGCGCCAGGAGGCGGTCGGTAACTCCTCCCCGCTCGCATGTATCCGTGTCTGCGCGGCCTCGTCTCGCATCTCTCAACGGCGCGCGCTCCGCAGAACCTGACGCTGCTGCTGAACAAGATCCGCGAGATAGTGCGCCAGCAGACGGAGAGCGAGGTGCTGGAAACGTGCGGCCGCACGCTGGAGTACCTGTGCAGCGAGCAGTGCGCCGTCTACTCGCGCTGCAAGGTGGCGCGCGCCACCATCACCGACATGTGCGTCGACAAGTACCGGGAGGCCATCGACGAGTTCCGCACGCTCATCGAAGGGGTGCGTACCTGCACTGTGCTCCCCCATGCACCCCCACCTCCCCCCCACCTCCCCATACTGAGCATGTGCGTGTGCGTGTGTGTGCAGGGCGAGACGCCGGACGCCGACGAGCAGTTCAGCGTGACCAACTCGCTGCGCAAGGTGTCCATCATGTACATGTGCCACAATCTGAACGACAACAACATCTGGGACTCGCTGTTCGAGGACCTGCCCAAGTGCATCGACAGGGACGATCCCATGCCCAAGCTGGCGCTCGTGTACGTGGTGCGCGCCTGCTTCTACTCCCTGCTGTGGTCGCTGCACGAGCTCGAGGAGCGCGGCACCGGCGCCGACCTGCTGCGCGACCGGCTGCACGGCTACTGCGCCCACTGCCGCGACATCGTCGCCCGCGGCACCACCGCCCAGCTGCGCGGCGAGGTGAGCCCGCCCCCGCCCCCGCCCCCGCCCTCAGCACGCCCCGCCCCCACCCCACACCGCCCCGCCCACTGACACGGACACGCCCCTGCGCAGGCCTACACGAGCATCTGCGACCTGCTGATCCTGTTCGCGGAGCAGCTGCACTCGCGGCACCACCCCGGCGACGAGCGCTACCGCCGCCTCGTCTGCGAGCCCGACACCACGCTCTGCGACCTCCTCAACGACTTCATACAGGAGTTCGTCTTCGTGCTGCAGTGCTACGGTACTCGCTGACACTGCCCCACACACGCACACACACACACACACACACACACGCACACACACACACACACATCGACGATGCATTTAATATCTCCCAATGTAGAATATTGTGTGTCAGTGAGTGCGGGAGCGCGCCTCGCCGCCGCTTGTCCCTGTGCTCTTAATTGGGTGTTTCCTTTTGTATGTAGAGGTTGGGAGTTTGGGTTTCGGTGAGATTTAGGAAGAAAATGTTTTTCCTCCTGTTGAGACAGAACTCCGTCGCCGGACGCTTACGCGATGCGACGCGATGCGACGCGATGCGATGTCCGCTATACAAGTTGTTGTTTTTACGTGGACGTGTTCCGAGCGACACCCCGATCCTATCGAATTATCGTGACAAAAAAATATGCATTATTTTCGTTGTACCGCGCAACGTGACGTGACGTGACGCGGCGTGACGCGACGTGACGCGGCGTGACGCGACGTGACGCGGCGTTCCCGACGCGCCGCTATAACGTTGTGGTGTGTTTGGTTGCATGTGACGCCGCGGCGCGCCTGCGGCCGACGCCGGTAAGCCACTTTCCTCCGCTGGCACGTGACGCTTGCGCCCCTCCCCACCCTCCACACCCTCCCCACTCACCCCGACTGCGCCAACTATTTTACCTTAGTAATGGCGCGCCCCCGCGACGTGACCGCTACGTGAACGCGACGCGACCGTCATCGTCCAAAATAATGCATATTTTTTGTCTCGGCGCCCCGCGACCCGCGACGCGCGAACTGCGACCCGCAACCCGCAACCCGCTCTCCTCGATCTCTGTTGTATTACTTATAACATTACTAAGGGAAAATTGTCGCGCTCGCTTGCACGATGCGATGCGATGCGATGCGATGCGAGACCGCGGTCGTGCAGTCGCCGCTCGTCAGTACGCGGCGCGCTCGCAGTCTCGGATCGTACTTTTATTTTTAACATGTTTAGGCATCTATAAGTTTTGAGCATGCGCAGTGCATCGGACTTGTTTTAGTTGCGTTTTGTTATTAGTTTGTAATATTTGATATTGATGAATTTCCATCGGTTGCGGTCGTCACTTGCCGTAGATAACATGCGAGGCTTCGCATCTTTACACAATAACGCAGAGTAACAGTGAGGCGGCTCTCAGCGAGGCTCGCCTCGACGCTTGCCGCTCACCGCTCACCCGCCGCATAGTTTATCCAGTTGCATGAACATCTCGCGACCCAGCGAGCAGGTCCGCGACTCCGTCCGGCTCTGATCACGCAGCGCGTACATTATGTAACTGCTCTGCTGCCTGCGTGCTCTGATGCCGGTGCCGAGCGCCGAGCACCGAGCACCGACTCCACACAAACGCGTGTCTTGCAGATAACCAAGACGAGAGACGTATCGAGGAGCTGCACAAGCGGCGCAACTTTCTGGCCGCCTACTGCAAGCTGATCGTGTACAACGTGATCCCCATCCGGCGCGCAGCGGACGTCTTCAAACACTACATCAAGGTAGTGTAGGACTGGCCGCCCTGGCCGCCCTGGCCGCCCTGGCCGCATCGCTCGATACATTGACGGGGTGACGTGTGTGCGCAGTGCTACAACGACTACGGGGACATAATCAAGTCCACGGTGAGCAAGACGCGCGAGATGAGCAAGCTGAACTGCGCGCTGACTATGCAGCTGGCCATGCAGGCGCTCTTCTCCGACATGCTGCGCCACCAGCCCGCTCCGCACCGCGCCCTGCCCGACCTCGTCGAAATCAAGGTGCCCCGCCCCGCCCCATTACAATCTTATAAGTATCGCAAACTATTACACCCATGCGGTGTCGTGTCGCGTCTCACAGGAGCTGGCGAAGAGGTTCGCGGTGATGTTCGGTCTGGACGCGGTGAAGAACCGCGAGGCACTGACGGCGCTCCACCGCGCGGGCATCTCCTTCGCCGCGCTGGAGGGCGCCGGCGCCGGCCCGCCGCCCAACCTGCTCTTCCTCGAGCCGCTCTCTGAGTTCTCCAACAAGCTGCTGCGCCAGGACAAGCGGCA